GAACGTCTCAAAGTGATTTTCACTATACTTTCCCCTTCCCTATAGATACTCGTTTTAAAACGGCACTCTGTACCTAGCTGCTGTGTACCAAGAGTGGGAATTCGACCGCAAATGCGTAAGGATAAATACCCAAGTCGAGCAGTGACTCAATTCTGTTTGAATATCTTTGAGTATGTCGAGCACTGATGAATGAGCAAACAAACGTTAATCGTTTATTCTCTGAGTAATGAGTTTCCACCTCCCGTAATCTTTCTATCACGTGCCTTTACTCTATTGAGTCACACCACCGATCCACGTAAATGGTCTGCAAATTTAATTCCATGAATGAAGCATTGACAATGCTCACGAAGGTTGAAAAATATCTTGATACACTGTATTGTTTTTGTCAACTTCCTGTGGTCTTTGTCTGCTTTTATTATCGATTTTTGAAAAATACAAAGAAATGAAATGAAATCGATTTCTTGAGGCAAGAAATTGTCACGTTACCGCCAAGTGTTCGGATTCAAGTCGTGAACATTTCACAGGATTCGTACATAGTCTGACTCATTATGCGGAATTCTTATCACAAGCGTAGACGCAAGAATTTCAGTAGCGAAGTGGTAAAACGGTTCAAGTCGACTTATCTCCCACTTAAGTTTTTGGGGAATACTTGCGAATCTAAGGGAGATAGCGAAATTACCGTGAGTACATTTATTGTAGCTCTCAATCGGCTCTACAAAAAAGGTTATAACAAAAACTTTGGTATCTCCCGTAGATTCCGAGATATTTATTGAAAACTGGCCAATAGTCAGAATTAACTTGTACCGTTTTACCACTTCGCTACTGAATTAATTTTATGATAGTATGTCAATATTTCTCTCAGTGTATATACACGGCAGCGTCCGGCCAGTTTTGTACAGCCAGAGCCAAAACTTTTCCGTGGCCGATACGCTACCGCGTATCTCGATTTACGGTGTCACGTTGGAGCGCTGAAATATACGCTTTCTGCTTTCCCGAGAGTGCAATGCAGCCTCCAATGCGTGAGTACTCTCCATATCTGCGTGTGACAACTGTGAACCCTCTTGAAAAATACATTTTCAACTCCGGAGTGCCTTCAAAATATAATTACTGAGAAATTATTATCTAACGATTCTGAGCTTCCTGGGTACTCTTTACCTCATACTTATTTATGACGAATTCATGTGAACCAGAATTGACTCATCATATTTATGGATGACTGCGTTTTTCAGTCGATAATTGTAAATCAATTTACGTAATTTTGAATCATAAAACCGATTGATTAACGCCAAACTGCCACTTTGAAAATCAACCAAAACTGCTAGTTGTGCGCGTTTACATACCTAATGGTGTAGTGTATGGGTTTGTGTACATTATGAGCAATTTTAGAAGCGAAATTCATTAATTTAGTCAAATGAGCCATCTGCAAATGTTTGTGCGGCAGAGTTTAATATTGGTCAACATTCGCATGATTAACTATACTTTTGACGTTAAACAATCAGCTACATACTTGATACATATCGGTCGTTAAATAGCATCGGGCAAATATTTGCATGGAATATATCGATTCATATGCAGGGCATCCGTTGCGGAAGTAAAAATCGGACCCTTCGTTGATCTAATAATGCAGCCCATAGTGGACCGCAATATCCAATACTTTGATTTATCAAATTCATCATTAGAATATTTGACATGGAATAAAATGATAGTATAATTATTATTTTGTAACTGGCCCTCGCTAAAAAATGGGTTTTCCATTTAGAGTAGTAAACTCTAGAAGCAATCAACATAAATCATGGACATCAATCAATCCTAAGCGTTAAATCTCGAAGAGAAACAACGACTTTCAAACCAAAAAAAAAATCAATCGAATACTAGTCTTTTGAAGAAAAAAACAGATTTTACGTCATCAGTTAGAAAGGGAAACAAAATAAAATGAATCACTATATTGAAAATTTTGGGCTCAAATTTCAGGTAGAATTGAATTGAATTTGTATAGTTCCAAGCATAAATAAGATGTCACTTTGACGATTTATTTGAATTTTGAATTACACAGGCAGATTCAGTATCAAAAAGTGAATTGGCAATTAATTCATATAGAATATAGAGCAATTCCACGTCAAATCCGAAATGAAAAAACTTGGAGTTTGCGATTGTCCTCGCGATTTTTTTTTCTGAGGAGTACATGAAACCAAGTTCTCATAAAATTTTTGTTATGATTTTTCAAAAATTTTCACTTTTACCACTTGAATTTTGGTTGTTTGAGAAAAAGGTGCAATAATTGAATTTAGTCAGTAGGAATTGAATTTTCATTTTCACACATTTCAAGGTTAATTAAAAAAACTTCAAAATAAGCACAATTGAACTTTTTTTGTTTCGTTTCTGGAACGGTTTTCGCGAAATAATTTTTTTTCAATCTGCAATTACTCGAAAACTTGATTTTCTTAATCTGAAATTTTAGGGGTAATTTGGTGACACAATTGCCAACATTTTCATAGAAGGACATCAATTTTTTTTGCAATTGTTCCCTCTTGAATTCTTTTTTTTTTCTTCTGAAAAATCCGTGGAACAATTCATAATTTAAATCATTTGTTGTTACTACTCACTCGTTGTGCTGACTAACATTATGAACAGATCTTAGATTTTAAAAATGGGCGTAAAGTGAACGGATATTATTGAACGAGAGTGGAGAACAAACTAGTTATGGAAGAAAAGCTTCGAATCCTTGAGAAAAACTTGATTGTTCTGGAAAAAAAAATTCTGTCATATCCTCACCGGTAACCAACACTTTGACAATTCCAAAACGATTTGAAAATGCAATCCGTCGTAAATTCATTGATTATCAAATAAATCAGGATTCTCATGTGCCCCCTCCCTCGCTGTAACATTCAGGTGGATAGATATATGTTCTGAAATGGATATGGCTTGAAATAAATCACTTCTTTAACTATTACTGGCCATAAAATTTTTTTCTTTGGCATTTACGCATTGCTCCCGGAAACGATTTTTTCTCGAAAAAATCACTCGTTTAACGAAGAATGACTGCAAAAACATAATTCTCCTTTGATGAAATCATCAGTAATTATATTCCTAAGTGATCCCCAAAATTTCAGATAAAAAAAAATAAAGTTTCCGAGTAATTGCAGTTTGAAAAAAAATTGATTCTGCTATTAGAGCTCAACAAATTGAACACATTGACTTCAATTGCCCGCATTTCGAATCTTTTTCAATTACCTTCAAATGTGTGAAAACGAAAATTTGATTCATAATAATAAAATTCAATTATTTCATCTGTTTCTCAATCAAGCAAAGTTCAAGTGAAAGGGGTAAGATTTTTTAAAATCATACTTCGCTGAAAAAAAATTGAATCGCTCTAAAAAATTTATGAACGCGTGGTCACATGTACTCCTTCTTCAAACAAGAATCGCCAAGGCAATCCGCACCGTGAAATTATTTCATTTCGAATTTGACGCGGAATTGCTCTATATTTACTTTAATTCTCATAATTTTTTAAAATTCTCATTTCTCACTTAATTGAAAAAAATAGATTAGACTAAAATTTACAGTTTTCATTTGCTTGTTGGGGGGACAATTTTTTGGTAGGGAAAAAAATCATTAAATTCCAAATTTCATTAAAAGGTAAATAAAATTCACAATTTTTAAGGCACAGAAAAACAATATTCCAACATACTTGAGTCTTCAATAAAACCATGAATATTCAGTACCGAATTACCCTGCATTTTCAATAAATTGAAAATTCAGGAATCTATTCATTGTTCATAAAATTGAATTAAAAAAAAAATGAACAAGAAAAAGAAAGCAAATTATTAGATGAACGATTAAATCATCATGTGACGCTCTTTGAATACTTCGTAACTAATTAAATTGTTGCCTTCACAGCATTCCGGAATTCCCTTTTGTGACTCTTTGGGATACACAGAGAAGAAACTTCAGGAAAATAACCCGAGAAAACGTAAAAGTGATGCGAAGTGAACTCGGAAAAAAATCTGGAGTGAAAAATAAATTTTCCCCTTCGAGTTCTAGAATTTTTATGGATCGAAACATAATTTCTACGTGTTGCAACGTAATTTTTACGCGACACTCCAATTAGCGCGGAGAACAGTGATTTCTGCGAATCTGTAGCGATACATCACAATTGCGTCAAACAACCTTATTTTTACGTGATTTCTACGGCACTTTTCCGCACCTTTTTCTCCGTGTAGTTTAATGAACTCGTGATAGCTTTGTTTTCTTCAGAAGAAAAGGGAACTAGAACAAAATTCCATCTGTGATTTCTCTGATTGAAAATGAAAAAAAACCTGTGACGTCACAAACTGCAGAACCTCCTCCTTCCCCCCTCATCGTGTAACGTAATCTTTGAAAGGCTCCCAATCTTCTCTGAGACACCGCCTGGCACTCCTAATCTTATCAGTCCCCAACTCAACACAAATAAATAAAAATGTGCATTTTCTCTTGAAAATTCACGCAAATGGTGGAATTTCCGTCTTCCTGTCCTTGAAAAAATGTGACTTTACTGGAATTTTAGAAGAAACTTGAAATTCCACTGAATTTTTTCTTTTAAATCGAATTGAAGGTCTTTTTTAAGAAAATTCAGCCAAATTTTTTTAACAGTGTACATCATTTCCAATCAAAATTAAAGAATGTTAAAACTGGACGATCATGATGCTTCCGATCGGAAGCAACAAACATATCTCCGTGAAGTGACTACTTAATAACCTCTTTATAACCCACGTCATCTGAATAACTCTCTTGAACTCCCAAGAAATCCGCTGGACTTTGTCAATAAATACTCTCAACCGTGATTATGATGTTTGCAATATTCGTTGAAACCTTGCGAATGAAGTGAGACACGTTGGAGTTGTCTTTTTGCACCGTATCCCCGTATTCGCGTTCAGCCAGTTCTTCTATACATATTCGCTTTGTTCGGTGGGTTTTTAAATAAATCGCGGTTGAGCGTTGGCTCCTCAGTGCAGCGACGCCGATTGACCGCGTCGCAACAAATCAGGCTCAGCTGTTTTTGTTTTTCCTCCCTCTTTAAACTCAGTTAGTCCCAAAGTTTATTCTGTTGTCGGTAGAAATCCGGGAGCGCAGAGTATACAGTGAAGAAGCCACTGAGTGAACACAGTGTATTGGCGCCACTACCACTGGCAAGGTCATATCGATCGATTATGACAATAACTCCGTGAGTTGAAAGACGAAACTGCGAATCAAAGGTTTGCATACTTTTATAAAAATACTTCTATTCTTCTCATTCCACCAAAAGTGATCTATTTCCTCACAACAACTGCTTAATCAAACTTCACCATCGTTCATATTGAAAATAACTATTCCTGTCCTGACTATTTTCGTCTGACGAGTAACGCATGACGAAACCACGAATTGGCTACGTGTCATCCACAGTCTCTCAACGTGGACGGAGAGAATTCAGTAGTACAAATTACAATGGCCATAGGAGAGAATGCTATGACAAGATAGTAAAATATTTTTCAACTGCCTTTACATAATAATCCTTACGATATCACATGGTAATGCTTACCATGTCACACCAGGCTGCCGGTGAGGCCACCCGTTCCAGAATTTTTAACGTTCCGCCTCATCAAAAGACTTGAAATAAATAAATAAAATCCTCTTAAAATTTCAGTTCTCGATCTCAATCCTAAAACGTCCCTCAAGAGCCTTGTTCTCCCATAAAAATAACCACCATGTGAATGGAAAATGGTTCTATGAACCTAGAAAGTATCTCTAAATTACACGCTTAAAATTCGCGATTGCCTCCTGATGCGTTCATAAACTCAAGATACTAAGGCTTAAACTCTTAAAAAAATTAACCAATTTAAACTCTTTATTTGAAATTTTCCTATTAAATTCAACAATATTTTTGTTCAAAATTTACATATGTATTTAAATTTCATTCACAAACCTTATTTAATCTAAAACAGTAACATAATCAGCTTTACTATATAACATAGTAATTATTGCCATGCACATGGGACCGATTATCATTGAAGAGCTTACCATGTCCCATAGTAACCATTACGATGTTGCATGATAACCATTACCATATCCATTTAATACTTACAAAACTTTGGGAACGTTTATTATGCACTGAGAAAAAAATTTCTAATATCTGAAACATATGTTCTTGAGACAAGTAATTTTTCTTCAATTGTTTATTTTTCCCAGGCATCTCAACTCACGTGACCCGAGAAAGGTCTCATGCTTTAAAATATCCTTGTACTCAAGTCTGATTTTGTCGTAAATGAACTCACTCAAATCGCGTAGAAGAACCGTTAATCTTCAAGTATTTATTGTTTTCATGATTTTTTTGTTGTGCAGTTGCAATATTTTGATATGGCACATATTCATGATATAATGCGCCATGATAGTGATAAATGAGAATTCATTCGAGTTCCGTGAACCGCAAGCATTCTGAGATTTAAATCACTGAAAATAATTTACTTCTCTTAAGTAAATATGGTCCACATATTAGAAAATTTTTCTCTGTGTGTGCAGATTCTGACACATCAATGTTTACTATTTTATTTTCTCCGTGTGAAAAATCGCACATTCTACCTCCCCAGCTGATTGATACCTCCGTGCCAGTCCATAATTCATTGTCACAAGTGACATGCAAAAGAATAACGACTAATGCCAAAAACCACTTGTTATTCCTCCCTCGTCCGGTGCTAATCAACTGCGAATATCGACGTCAATAATTACGCAATTCAAATGCACCGAATAGTCTATTAGTAATTATACCGAAAACTTCCGTGTGAAGAGTCCGTATGCATCGCAGCCCCCACTCAGTTTATTTTGACTCACAGCTCCGCAGCACGTGCTCTGCTCCTCGTTTCAAGAAAGAGGCTAGTGGAAAAAACCCGTGAAAATGTATTTCCAAACTGTCAAATTTACTTCCCTTATCTCGCGCTCCACATAACCCGGAGGTCGTTGACTGTTTGTGTCTGGTGACGGCGGGAGGGGGGCGAAGAAAGAGGAAAAAATCCAAACGTGCGAATTTCCCTTTTTCCTCCGGGCCGGTGTGGCTCACGTGCACCAGACACAGGTAAATAATACGAGGGAAAAAATAGATCAGGGAAATGGAGTAACGGTATCTGCGATCATAGTCGAAGATCGAGGTTCGTGTGTGCTAAACACTTGGCCTCAAGTATAAACACTGACCGGTGCGTCTTCTATTTATAGTCCACACGCTGACAGGAAAAGTATGAAATTCATGTGAAGAGTTAAAACTTACCTATGTTATGCTTTTCGATGTGATGAAACGGAATTCGTAACTTAGCCCGCAATGCAGTTATGATATCAATAGTTATTAACAGTTTAATTATTTCAATGCGTTTTACGCCGCCATTCTGATAGGGGAAGTGGTTTCGGTACCGCTCACTTAAGGGACAACGATAATTGTCAGTTCCCAATCCACGATTTCGAATAAAAATTAGGTTACATGTCTAAACAACACAAGGATAATACATCACAAGGACAATTCAACATAGTTCCACTAATTACCAATGGGTCCCCATATTTCCCACCAAGTCGCGACTAGGTTGCCAGTTTGTGAATTTAAACTCTTTGGTACACCACATATAATGATACGGATGACCAGGTAGATGACCGGGACCTCCCATTTTCACCACCTTCCTTCTAAAGGCAATCAATTTTTAAAATTAAATTAAATATAATCACAAAGAAAGAGATTTTGCGACTGGTATATTGAATATCTATATTACCCCGGGGCTATTTTTCGGTCAACCTTAGATGTTTTTAATGCATAAATTACTTGGAAAACGGGATGCTACATGCCATCCATCGACTTTCCGGACCTCTATATGAGGGAAATAATTAAATAATTATCAATGCACAAATTAAAAAATTCGGAGTTTTTTATTCTTGGCGCAATTGTTGCAAATTGCTGTCTCTTCCGAAAAAATTGACCGATTTCCAAAAAACTAAATTAAATTTGTTTACTAATTTTCAAATCAACATTGTTGGTTCGAAACATTTTTTGATATCTATCAAAATGGCGACGTCAAACGCATTTAAATAATTAAATTGTTTAAAATTATTAACTGCATAACTATCAGCATATCAACTATTATGTACCCAATTCAACTCAACTCGGTTTCACCAGTGAAAATACCCAAGCAGTCTTATCATAAGTGTTCATTGGGCACGTGTCTGGACGCATTGATTGACACCGGGTGAATTGAGTTTTTTTTTCTCAATAGTACTTTTACTACCGCATGAAAGATGTAACCGTCCTAACGTGAGAATGTCCTTCGTCTTAATACATCTCCGAAGCAATCTTCGGTGTTGTCTCGTGTTCTGGGGGAAAAAAACTCCACCCAGAGGAGCATTGCCATCCATCTTCAGTGAACTACTTTGTCCTCCATATCTGTGACTATCAGAACTCAGGTTTCAGGAGTTCTTACCATTTACTTTCGCACACATGAGTCATTCTGATGGACGTTTCACGTGTTTTTTTGTTTATTTCTCGCATGAGACAGAAAGAGAAAGATGCGCCATATGAATCCAAACAACGGTTCGTAACACTCAATTCTGGAATATGTAGCGTGATGGATCACCAGAACGATGGCTTCGATACATTCCCACCCCCTCCCCCCTTTCGCATCGCCAAGCACAAGTGCATGAATAATATAAGTACCAGATGATTAATCGAAAATTCGATAGATTTAGAGCGTGCAATTTCTGCAAGATTTTTGAAAAATTGATTATTCCATGCATCAAAGTTATATCAGATCAAGGAAAAAAATACCTAAATTGAGTATAAAATATACTTGAGTCATGTATATTTTACACTCAATTGGGGGATGGGTACTTCAATCCGAAGATGATTCTTTCCTGTCAGGCCGAGTTATAACAAGCCCTCGTAAGTGTAATGTAAGGGTCAAGCATTAAGCGTGAAAATACAAGGATCAAAAAGTGGGGGTTAAAACATGAGGGTCAGAATATAAAAGTAAAAACAGTGGGTGTCATGTAATGAGGGTCTAAATATAAGTCATACATTATGCTTGATCACCATTTTACGCCCTTACATAACCCTCATTGCCTAATACCCTTTTACTTTTTTACTTTTACAAGATCTATGCGCGCGCTCTCGCGCGCGCTGATCTATTCATTTGTTGAAATGAAGAAATGAAATTCATTCAATTTCATTTTCTCATGAATACCTTATAAATATTAATAATGAATCAAAGAGAATTGATTCTGGTGTAAAATATATTCAATTCAAGTATATTTTTTCCGTGATTGCGAGTGGATAGTTTTTTACGACTGGGGATGTTAATGAAACTTGGTATTCGCGTGCTCAAAGCTCGGGATCTCATTAAAAGAGATGAAAATAGAGATGAAAATACAAACGGACTGGGTGGAGGACACCGGAGCGTATTAATCTGAGCGAGCACCAGTCGACTAGGTTATTCGGCCATTAGTATCGAAAACTCAATTGGGATATCACGTTTATTTCGAGCTCTCCTCCTACCCCCTTGGTCTCACGCGCTCTCCCTCTATCAGTTTTCATTCGTGAAAGCGCTTGACACCACCTCCCCCGACTATACCAGTCGTTTTTTTTTCAATCTCTCTATTCTCGTTTTCTCTCTCGTTCTTCCAGTCGCCTCTTCACACTCTGCCTCAAATGAATTGATTTCAAGCACAAACAAAATGAAATTAATAACCAGTCCAACTCTGTGCGGCGGAAAATGAAAATTCTATTTTACTCGTTCCTCCCTCGATTTATTATCATTATTCAATATTGAAACTCATGAGGGGAATCAGTGGTATTCAATTCGAATTCTATCGTTGACGTTGATTTTCGAAATCCTGACTCGTTGGGGATGATGAAGGGCTGTTGATAGGATATGTAATTATATTCGTGAGATTATCAGAGTTATCCGTTCGAGATTTATTATCGAAGTTAAATTCAGGTGGAAATATTAAATTTGTGGGCGAAGGGCCGCGGGCGGTGGGCAGTTGCAAGTTTCTGCGCGGATTTGCAGCGAATAACGTAGTATTTAATTGGAAATTAAGATGAATTTTCAATAGTTTATCATGTTTGGAGTTTATTAAATCTTCTCAATTATTGCAGAATTAAATTTTCCATCATTTGTATGTAAAGTGAGATTTTACGAAGCAAATTTTTGTTTCTGGTAGTATGCGGAGATCCGTACAATCTTTTTTGTAA